CAGCCACTCCTCAGAAGGAAGGTTGGTCAATCTACTTCTGTAGTGATACTGCCTCGGAAACCCAAGGAGGGGTCGCTATGAGTCGGGATGGACTTGACAGCAGTGAGTATTAATTTATGAATAATAACACCATTTGAAAAGGTCTGTGTTTGCTAACTTCTGTTTGTTGCGAAGAGAAAGGAAGAATTGAGAAAGAAAACAGAAAGTGAAAGAAAAAAAGAGAAGGGGAACAGGGTGATTGGGTTTTAATAAGCGTAACCAGGTCCGCTTATTGTGAGGGACGGTTTCATGGGTGTAGGAGGACAGCGGCTTGGTGAAGTGGAGGGTCAGCAAAAAGGGGAAGACCCTCAACGAGATGGATTGACACAGTGGCTGCGACGACGGGCTCAGGGATCGCAGGCCTGGCGCAGGACCGGGCAGTGTTTCATTGTGTTGTACACGGGGTCGCTGTGACTCGGAGCCGAATTGATGACACCTAACAACAACACAACAACCAGACAGTGGTCTCTTTCTTTCAAGCACAAAACTGACAACCAGAGTGGGCAACGTTATAAGTCCTCAAGGCTCCTCACCCAATAGAAACATCACTGATGAGACAAAAGGGTCTGTCCAGGCTTCTCGCTATTCAATGAGGACAACGCTCTCCTCTCATCTTCACGGAAAACAGACGTTGGGTCTTAAGGAGGTCCCCCAACCATTCCCTTTGCTGAAGCAGGTGTTGGCCAGGGACCTGTGTCGACCCACTCATCTCCTCTCTTGACCACCTTCTCGTTGTTACATGCAGTGGAGTTGACTTCAACTCATAGAGACCCCGTGTCACAGAGTGAAGCTGCCCTTTAGGGTTTCCTAGGCTGTCATCTTTATGGTGACATCAGCAGCATTATGGTAATCGCTCAGCAGGTTTCTGTCCTGCGGAGCCACAGGGTGAGTTCAAACCACAAACCTCTCAGTGAACAGCCACAGAGCTAACTGTTTTACCACAACACCTCCTCCTACCACCTTAGTCAAGTGTATTGTTTGCTTACATATTGTGCCTAAAGTCACTGCTTCTTACTGTACAACAACAATAATTGTGTTCTTTGTACAAATTATGGAAAATACTATAATAATAAAAAAAAGTCCAAAATAAAAGAATTTAAATTCCCCATATTCCTTCGACCCTGAAATAACACCTCATTTGAGTGTTTATCTTTCCAAGCTGTGTGTGTCTGTATCTATGAAAATATTACATACATCTACACACGTAATCTTTTTCTTCTAAAATTTGGGATCACATTCATATCATCTGATAACCTAGTTTTCCCTTTTTTTCTCCTATTTAGTCCCAGTTTTCATTAAAAGTCTGGTAGATGTGTATTAGTTCAAACTGCCTGAATTCTTGCTTTGTGTGCACTTGACCATGGCACGTCAAAAAACAAAAGAAAGCCTGGGTACATCATACTTATGACCTGCCCAAGCCCTTCTCTCTGTGCTTCACAGGTATTAATTCATTTAATCATCATGGCTTGTGCAGTCGAGTCGGTCCCAACTCACAGTCACCCTACAGGACAGAGCAGAACTGTCCGCATAGAACTTTCTAAGCTGGTATCTTGTAGCACAGTGCCTAAGGCACTTGACTGCTAACCAGAAGGCTGGTGGTTCAAACCCGCCGGCCACTCCTCGGAAGGAAGATGGGGCAATCTACTTC